CCTGGAGTGAGAAATCTGCCCCCGCAGGCCACACCTTAATGGTCTTCACTGATGGCTTTAGACGATTGATGAGAGGTACATACTTGGGCGTGAGAAACAAAGAAATGTGGTCTGACTGTCCCAGATGGGGGAGGGGTGTCACGACGTAAGCTCCAGCCATGTTTGTGTAAACATGGTCTAAAGTTTTGTTTCCTCTGGTGTGACAGGAAACATGCTGGTGAAATTTTGGTAGCACTGACTTTAAGTTTGAATGATTAAAATCACCAGCAACAATAAACGCAGCTTCCGGGTGGACGGTCTGTTGTTTACTGATGGCTGTGTGAAGTTCTTTCATAGCAAGTCTAGCATCAGCATCCGGGGGAATATAGGCTGCAGTTATAATGGTGGAAGTGAACTCCCGCGGTAAATAAAACGGTCTACATTTAACCATGAGAAACTCTAGGTTAGCTGAACAATGTCCCCCAACAATAGCAGAGTTTGTGCACCAAGCTTTATTAATGTAAATGCACAATCCACCACCTCTGGTCTTACCGGAGCCATCTAATGTTCTATCGGCCCGGAATTTATGGCGTCCCGCTATCTCAATAGCATTGTCCGGTATTCCACTGTTTAACCATGTTTCCGTGAAGATTAGGACATTACAGTATAAAAGTCTCTTATTGCATGTGATGTTAAGTTGAATCTCGTCCATCTTGTTCAACAGCGACCGTACATTAGCAAGGAAAATGCTGGGTAAAGAGAGCCGATGTGGTGTTAGCCTTAGCTTGGCTCTTAGTCCTCCGCGCTTCCCCCGCCTTTGTTTACGATCTCGACGCCGCCTGCGAGCATTTCCGCCAGCTTGGTCCTCAAGTGTCACGACAGCTAACACGTGGCCCTCGGGGACGATTGGAAGAGTGGCAGGAGGTGAAGATCCAGTGGGACCTAGCTGTTCCTTACGAGACAGGTAGTCCACCATGCTGCGAAATGGACGGCGGACCAAACTCTCTCGTTCAGCAAGGGGAGGGAGGACCTTAAGACGAGCGACGAGGTAGCGGTTGACCAGGGACTCTGGTAAGAGAAACCTTCTCTCCTCAATGACCTGGGCGTACCTCTTTAGGGTCAACTCACCCTGGGGAGGGAAAGGAAGCTTGCCATTGGCACTGTCGGCAATAGCTGAGCGCCACCACAGTTCCGGGTCAGAAGGCTGAAGGCAAGCGGACAAGGACTGCACGTCTGCTGGGTTCGATTTTGGTCGGTACATTCTGTCATGTAGTGGAAGGATGAACCCAATTGCAGACAGCAAGTAACTCAAAATAAGGTTTTATTAATGACAAAAACAGAAAACAAAACCCACGATGGGGCAAAACAAGAACAGGTAGCAAACACTAAACTAAGACTCAGGTAATAAACTCACAGACAAGACTAGATACACACTTCTTACAAGATGATCAACAGAGAACTTACAGCTAGACTCACACAAGGTTTGACAAGGTAAGGAAGACAATGTACCGACACAGGACAGCAAACACAAGAGGATTAAATAGGGAGAAACTAATGAGGGAAACAGCTGACTCTAACAGGGCAATAATGACTAAACAAGGATAACAAGGGGGCGGGGTTATGAGACGAGACAACGCAAGCACACAGCCCAAACAAATGGCCATGTGCTTACACAGAAAACATGGTTCTGCCATGATCCTGCCACAAGACTAGGAAAAATCAGCGACGTGATGGCAGAATCATGACACATAGAAATATGCGTACGCATTTTTCCACGCACATATCGGGATTTATAAAAGAGTAAACTTGGCGTAAATAAGTGCGCACCGTAAGGATGCTCTTGACCGTGCGTACGTACTCTTTTAGAAGAGTGTGTTTTGGCGACACCGATGGTGAGCAGGAGTTAAATGTATTTTTGGTCACTATTAGACAGAGAATCTAAAGAAAATTATACATCTACAGATATATAATTAAAAATATAATTTCACAAACCTATCATCACTTGAAGCAAACATCAATCCCTTCTTAAATGTCTGCGCCATGAGCGCGTTGGGCCGTTTAGTGAAACTGATGCACATAGCCTATAGGCTACTAACGGCAGATGAAGTAAAACCGTAAATCTTCATTATGAGTCCTAATCATAAATACAGTACATGTTCACAATAACAGTTTAAATAAATAAAAGAACGATTTAAACTATGTTTTACTTCTGATATAAACATTTAGATGAAATATGCCATTCTCATTAATGGAGTTAAACACTTAAACTAGCCTACATGAAATCATTACTGAGAAGTTGCAAAAAAATGTAGGCTATATTCAATAAATAGAAATAGATCTATTTGTTGTGGATGTAATGCTTTTGAACATTTTTCCTCTGGCATGCTGTGTTTAAATGTTTTAACTGATAGCTGATTGTCTGGGGGGGTAATGGTTTCGTGCAAATAATGCACAACAAGATCTATCTGTTTCCATTAAAATATAAATCAATTAAAAATATTATTTGGCCAGTGGAAAAGATTGAGAAAATCTTTCTCTGAAATGTATTTAACACTATTTGATTTATTTATTCAAAACAAGGCAACGATAGGCTACTAAAAATATATGTTTGTAATAATGTGGCGGCACATCCGCATTTCATATTTAACTAACGTCTTACCGTTAAACATGGTATCACGTGGATGAATAATCATATGCAAATGATATGCGGATGAGGATATGCATAGTAAAACTAGGCGTTGTAATCTCCATATATGGTTATTTTATGCGCATTCTTCCGCTGACTGGGATTTATAAATCTGAAAACTTTTGTGCGTACGCAAATTCTGCCTTATGTGCGTACGCACACTTTAAGGAAGAAATCTATGCAAAGTTTTATACATGAGGCCCCTGGTTCTTCCTTTTCTTACAGTACACAGTTAGTCTGTCAGACAGGGACAGACTAACTGTGTAGCCAAGTAAGCAAAGGAAGATTCTTCTGCGATTCTTCAGGGGCCTCATGTATAAAACTTTGCGTAGATTTCATCCTTAAAGTGTGTGTACGCACATAAGGCTACTAAAAATATATGTTTGTAATAATGTGGCGGCACATCCGCATTTCATATTTAACTAACGTCTTACCGTTAAACATGGTATCACGTGGATGAATAATCATATGCAAATGATATGCGGATGAGGATATGCATAGTAAAACTAGGCGTTGTAATCTCCATATATGGTTATTTCGGGGAGGAGACGCACGTGCGCGCATTCTTCCGCTGACTGGGATTTATAAATCTGAAAACTTTTGTGCGTACGCAAATTCTGCCTTATGTGCGTACGCACACTTTAAGGGAGAAATCTATGCAAAGTTTTATACATGAGGCCCCTGGTTCTTCCTTTTCTTACAGTACACAGTTAGTCTGTCAGACAGGGACAGACTAACTGTGTAGCCTAAGTAAGCAAAGGAAGATTCTTCTGCGATTCTTCAGGGGCCTCATGTATAAAACTTTGCGTAGATTTCATCCTTAAAGTGTGTGTACGCACATAAGGCAGAATTTGCGTACGCACAAAAGTTTTCAGATTTATAAAACCGTTCGTACGCCAGAACCTGCGCAGAATTCACTTTATAAATCCCAGTCAGCGGGAGATTGTGCGCACGTGCGTCTCCTCCCCGAAATAACCATATATGGAGATTACAACGCCTAGTTTAAATATGCATATCCTCATCTGCATATCATTTGCATATGATTATTCATCCACGTGATACCAAGTTTAAGGGTACAAGACGTTAGGAAAATATGAAATGCGGATGTGCCGTCACATTATTACAAAAAAAAAAAATTTTAGTAGCCTATATCCTTGCCTTGTTTTTGAATAAATAAATCAAATAGTGTTAAATACATTTCAGAGAAAGTTTTTCTCAATCTTTTCCACTGGCCAAATAGTATTTTTAATTGATTTATATTTTAATGGAAAGCGATAGACATGGTTGTGCATTATTTGCACGAAACAGTTTTCTCAGACAATCTCTAGTTAAAACATTAAAAAAACAGCATGCCAGAAGAAAAGTGTTCAAAAGCAATGAATCCACAACAAATAGGTCTATTTTTTTATTTATTGAATATATATATATATATATATATATATTGTAACTTCTCAGTAATGATTTCATGTAAGAGTTTAACTCTGGCATATTTAATCTAAATGTTTATATCAGAAGTAAAACATAGTTTAAACCATTCTTTTATTTATTTAAACTATTATTGTGAACATGGACTGTATTTATGATTTGGACTCATAATGAAGATTTACGGTTTTACTCCATCTGCCGTTAGATTATAGGCTATATGTGCGTCAGTTTCACCAAACGGCCCAACGCGCGTGCTGGCGCGGTCATTTAAGAAGGGATGGATGTTTGCTTCAAGTGAGGATAGGTTTATGAAATTATATTTTATTATCTTTCTGTAGATGTATAATTTTCTTTAGATTCTCTGTCTAATAGTAAGCAAAAAGACATTTGACTCCTGCTCACCATCGGTGTCGCCAAAACCCATAATCTTCTAAAAGAGTGCCTACGCACGGTCAAGAGCATCCTTACGGTGCGCACTTATTTACGCCAAGTTTATTTTTTATAAATCCCGATGTGCACGTGCAAAAATGCGTACGCATATTTCTATGCCCATTTTGTGCGTACGCAACGTTTATACATGAGGCCCCTGGACACATTTCAGATATAGGAATATTTTATGATTGCTATTCAAAAGAAATATAGGAAATATGTTCAATTAACGAAATGTCCGTATAGTTGCGTCAGATTTGTGTTTTAAGCATTTTTGCTTCTGCTCTGCGTTGAAATGCACGAGCGAGCGCGTTCGCGTTCGCGTTGTTCTCCCACACAGATGGGCTCAGGACACTTTGAGCGCACTGACCTCCGATCTGTGATGTTTGTAAGCTTGTTGTTGGCACAAGGCCCGGGTTTTTGAGCGAATCATTGGACTAGAATAAAAGCACTGAAGAGAGCAAAGCCTCGCCTTCCCGGTTGCTCCCATTTTCCCAAGTCCTTCCAAGCTCACACCGCAGCCCTCAGCTCTCCGCCGGCTCCAGGTCCACATCCGTACTCATTCCCATCATGAATTCCCTGTGGACTTGTTTGCTTATGTACAATCTTCGGCTTTTATTAACGATCGCATTGAAAGTGGATTCAAACTATCACACAAGTCCAGGAGAAAGTGATGAAGTTGACTACATGGACCCATGCAAAGCTGGTAAATGCCTATATGACAGCCTATGTTTCTAAACTAAAATTTTGTTTTGTTTCGTCTTGTTGCTGATGTTATTTTGTTTTGTTTAACAGCCTACTGTTTTGTTTCATTATTATTATTTGTTTTGTTTTGGTTAAAGTTTTGTGATGTTTTGATTTAATTTTTTGTTTTGATTCAAAGTTGTTTCGTTTTATTTTGATTGCTGTCCTGTTGCTTTGTTTAATATTTTTGGTTAACATTTTGTTTTATGTTTTGTTTAATCTTGCGTTGTTTTGTGTCATTTGGGTTGTGTTGTTGTTTGTGTTGCTTTGTTTTGTTTAGCTGTGTCCTGCAGGACAGCATGAGATCTGGGACAAGTGAATGGGATCCTGGTGATTCGGCACCTCCCCCTATCCCAACTCAGAAATCAGCATCCTCGGGCAGTGTGTAGAACTAAAATGTTGCCTAATTTACAGCACGAAAAGCATTAATTACCCAACCAAGTTTTGATGACCTGTAAAAGTTTAAACCCTAACGTGACATCTAAATCAGACAAAAACACCTAAACTTTGTGCAGTAGATAGCAGATGAAATGTTGTTTGGTCTATTAGAGCTGAATTTAATACTAGTGTTGTTTACATGCCGCCGAACAGTGCTCTGCGAAAAAAATTTTCACAAGAAAAATAGCTACATATTCACTATTTATCATTTTCATTATGGATGAGTGCAAATTCATTCTTATCACAATTACTATATTTAGCATATGTGATTCCCACCTGCAGTATTGATTTTGACTAATTTATTGTTCACCCAAAAATGAAAATCATCCCATGATTTCCATCAAGCCAGACATGACTATCTTCTTTCAGAGGGTGATATTAAAAAAAAAAAAAAAAAATCATTGCTTTTCCAAGTTTTACAATGGTAGTGAATGGTGGTCCAGATTTTGAAGTCCAAAAAAGTGCATCTATCCACCAATTTTATTCTGGTGATCAATTTAAGACATAAAACATTAATTATATTTCTTTTAACCATGAAATCAAACAAACTTTTTGTCAAATAATGTGCTGCACAATGAGATTTACTGTTAAAATTAAAACATGGAAGAAAAATTGTTAGTATTTCCTAAATAAAGTTTTGATCAAAATGTATTTGTATTAGTGTTAGTATTATTATTGCTACATTGAGAGATGTATCTAAATTCTACTGCACAACAGTAATACATTTCTGTCAAGTTAAACCAAACATTTTTGACGGGTTGCCATGAAGGCCTTTGAGTTTCTGTGTTTATAACATAACAATACTTTTTCTAAGCAGTTAAATGCTCACAAAGTGACTTTCAGAGCTGATCTAGAGTCTGGAGATGAAGTTCAGGTTTCTCATAGGCAAAAAAAAAAACAGCTTGAGTGTCACACCTGTTTCAGCATATGAAGAGAGAGAGAGAGAGAGAGAGAGAGAGAGAGAGAGAGAGAGAGAGAGAGAATGAATGAATGAATGAATGAATGAATGAATGAATGAAAGTAAATGAAACTGTGTGTCTTTTTGCACCATTCATTCTCATAGAACATGTAGGATTTAAAGTTAGTTAGAAAATTAGAAAATTAAATTATTTAAATATTTAAATAGTCTTTTTGTGGTTTAATATTGCAATTTTATGATGGATGGATGTAATTTTGGACTTCAACATTTTTTTTCTTTAAACACATATTGTTTTCGCCTGAAACAAGAAAGTCATATCATCAAGAGAAGCGCTTTAAAAAAAATAGTTGAAAGGCATTTGAATACATATTAATAATGTATGTTTCTGACAGGGGCTGCCTAGCATTTTGGACATCTGTTCATTACCCTCACAGCATGAAGTGGGCTTCAGGCCATTGAAACCTGTCAGGAATTTGGTTTGCCACAAAAAGCATTAAATTGAGACTTTTAATTTGATGCTTACAAAGAGAAGAACTGAAATGGGAAATTGGAAGAGAAACAACTAGCCTACTGCTGCCATGTAGCGGTAATGACTAGATTCGATGGAAAGAAAAAAAAAGAACAGAATTTAAAGGAATAGTTCACCCCAAAATGAAAATGATCCCATAATTTACCCTCAAACCATCCTAGCTGTATCTGGCTTTCACCTTTTTTAAATGAACACAACCGGAGTTATATTAAATAATATCCTGGCTATTCCCAGCTTTGTAATGTCATTAAATAGTGTCAATTTGTGTTTTTGAAGCTCCAAAAAGCACATTGATCCATCATAAAAGTAATCCAGTCGGTTGATAAATGCCCCCTAAGCTAAGAGAAGGGTTTTTGTAAGAAAAATGTCCATATTTAAAGTCCCTGTATAGGCAATTCTACAAAAAAGTTCTAAACCCATTATAAATGTTACATATGTATTGCTAAAACATATTACAAAGACTGTGAACTGTGAAGTACTGAAATGTGCAGTTAGACTGTTAAAAAGTTTTTCACCATTGCAATTTTACGGATTGTTTGGGCTGGGCTAAAACAGGGCTCGATGACGCACTGGAGCCCATTAGCACCTGGACACACCCCTATGGGCTATATGCACGCATAAGTTCCGCATTTGACGTAAGGATGCTCGTCCATTTCCGGTTGTGTAGATTAAAGCGGAGGAAAACCGGAGAAAACGGGATTATGGCAGAGTCTTCAATGTTTACTGTCCTCCCGTCTTTGAAACGAAACGTACATACGTTTAGATGTAATTTTATATATAGTTATGTTTATTTAATATAATTTTAAAAATTGCTGTTTTTGTGACTAACGTTTCATTAGTATAACCATGGTGTATAAAATTCAATATAAATTCTCTGTATTGCATTGGACTCTATGATCGGCGGAAGTTATCGAGCATCCTTAATCCTTCACCGGAAATAACGCCATGCATAGAGCCCATTTGATGACGCACAGAGTCTGATCTCTCCCCTAACACACAATAACACTCCCCGAGCACATTCGCATTCACCGCTCAATCGCGAGTGACTGTCAGTACTATTAGTCACTACAGCTGAGCCTACAGTTTTCTAGCTAGCGATGCATTCAACACAGAAATGCATAGGCTACTACCTGAATGCGATCATGTACAAAACAGATCGGTATCTTTATTTAAATTCTCTAAAAACGATCACATCAAGAAGAGGTTTTTAGAGAGCCAACCTTGATGAAGAGCTGAGGATCACCGCCAACACCCGCCTCTGTAGTGATCATTTTACACGGGATCGTTTTATAAACTTTTCTCAGAGACAACTGGGATTCACTGATAATCCGCTGTTACTGGTGAACGGGGCCGGACCGACTATCTCCCGCCTCAGCATTCATTCTCCCGTCCCGAAAGCAGTATCAGCTAATATCACCGTCAACACTAGCTTTCCCGCGAGTGGGCGTGGTTTCCACGCAGCCAGCGGATACGCCCCCAGCATTTGAGAACAGAAATAACTGCTCATTTTTTCAAGATTTTGATAGCTTATTTTATGTACTTGCCGGCTTTTTTATCATTCAAATTTGGCTGGGTGGCTAATAACACATTTTTCTGTGGTGACAAACTCAGAACACATATTTAATTTTGACTTTACAGGGACTTTATATTTCTGGCTTCCAGCAACAGCCACGCTAACAGAGAGTTGAGTTCCGGCGGAAAGGTGACCTCGGACCCGATGTATGACGTAGGCAAAGCATAAGCTTAGGTGAAAATCGACGAACGTGGATGCACAGAGGATGGAGGAAAAACAAAACAAAAAACGCCTGTCTCGAATCAGAAATATTAAAGAAAAATGTCGGATGATTTCGATATAAGAGAAGAGGAGCTACGTCTGTAAAAACCCATCGCCTTGCTTCAGAAGGCATTTATTAACCCAGTGGAGTCGTGTGATTAGTTTTATCACTCAGGCACTTTTCAATGCCATTAAAAAGCTGGGAAGAGCCAGGATATTATTTAATTTAACTCTGGTTGTGTTAGGCTGAAAGAAGAAAGCCATATACACCTAGGATGTGTGAAACTTTGATAGATTTTGTGTTTTGATCAGAACAACAGTGAAGATGGATGCTGATTGTGACACATGGTCATTTTTTTGTCAAGCTGTATAGAAAGCAGATTTAAATTTAACCATTAACTGGGAACTGCTTTACCTCAAAATTGGTATGCTGTGACTTGCTTCTTTCTTCTTTTGACACTTGGAGAACAGCGTGACAAGAGGGCGTGAGTGTATGTTTTTATATGCATGTTCATAGATTTGAAAGCTTTGGGTGAAAAATTCAAGCAAGACATAAACATACTCCTCATATATTTTTTTGTTTGTTTAGTAAAATTCAGGCTTAATAAGGTGCCTTGCCAGGCCGAAAATACCAGGGTAAAATAATAAAAGTGCTCCCTGCTGCCTCAGAGTCCATAAAATTATGAATTCTGCTGCTAGGTCACAAATTCCAGACATGAATGTTCACAGCCACTCATGCAGAGCTTTATTATGTCTTAATACAGAATATAAAGGATTAAAAAACAATTAGTCGGAAAAAATCCAGGATACCAAAATAAGGTTTTATTAAATTTAGTTCAAAATAAACTTAAAGCTGCAGTCTGGCATTTTTCCTCTTTGTCCCCATCTCTGTTCGAAATCTGCAATTGCAGTCATTTGCAGAATTATCAACTTTACGTGAGTTGTGCCTCGGCTCGGCATGGCACAGCGCGGATAAGCACAATGTTTAAGGAGAGTGTGCAGCTGTCAGTCACCGCGCCGGTGTGTATACTGGCATTCAGAATCACAGATTATTCTTTTTGTAAGTATGACCAACATAATAATTTTCACTGGAAAATGTCATCTGAACAAGTAAGAAACATCCACTTTTATTCTGATTCTGACACTGCAGTAAATCTTGCTGATTAAATCTAACAATCACTTATCATATCACGCAAAACCGTGCAAATTATGCTTTGTTCTCAAATTGTTAATGTTAACAACGTCAGCATTGCGTGACTACATGTAATGTCCTTCGATATTTATCCTTGTTTGTGCATGGGC